CAAAGTAGGACTGGACCCACCATTGCTGGCTTTGAAGATGGAGGAAGGGCACAGGCCAAGGAATCAGGTGGCCCCTAGAAGCTGGAAAAAGGGCAATGATCTCTTCTTAAACCTCCAGAAGGAGCACAGCCTGCTGATGCTTCCATTCCAGCCTGGTGACTCTGATTGGATGTCTGACTTCCAGAACTGTGAGATATGTTGTCTGTTGTACACTACTAAGTTGTGGGAATTCATCACAGCAGCTCTGGAGAACTAGCTGGGCCCCTCTTCCTTCCCAGCCCTTTACCTGTGATATCAGCTGCCTGTACACCTGGTTTATGTCCCTCCCCCTCACTCTGAATGATAAGTGCCCTGCTTAGGATGTAGCGTGTCCCACATTGGTGGACACTGCTATTGGGAAGGCTCTTCCAGAGGCTCAAAATCCACCCCTCAGAACTTCCATTCATGGGGCCACGTGGCCTAGCTCTCCCCTGGGGACACACACACCTAGCTTTCCCATGCTAGCTCTTCAGTGGCCAAGGAGCTCCCCAGCGCTGGCACCATGTCAGCTCCAGAGCTGTCTTCAGAGGGACAGTGAACAGGCAGGGCTCCTGCAGCTCTGCTTTGATGATGCAGTGAATGGCCAACCTCTGTCACTTTCACCCCCACTCCCCACATCTACTCTCCCCTTTCTCCACCAGCAGCACCGGATTCTCCTCAGGAAATCGCCCCCTAGTCTCCCATTTGGCATGGCTGGCAGAGCACCACATTCCCACTCACGGTGATCGATTCAGGCTCAGTATCCAGGTCAAGTCAGCAGATGGAACCAACGAGGCCTTTGGGAAAGAGCCCTTTTCCAAGGGATGTCCAGGAATCTGTGTCTGAACAATATTCCAGGGTCTTGCTGTCACTGGCTCATCCTACTGACCCCGTCTGGAGAACACTGTGCGGGTGGGTGTTGTTTATCTGAGTCCTACAGACGTAGGCTCAACACCAAGCCTGAGGGTGGATTTTAAGGCAGGGCCTTATGAAAGCAGGAAAGGATTATTTCAGAATACCTCAGCCTACACGAGAATAAACTGTGGGCAGTTTAAACATAGAAATGCAAGTAATTAATATAACACTGTGGGGTCACCCCAACTCTTTCCAGCTCCTTCTCTCACTTGGGGTCTTGCCACCTTGGGACGTGCCCCGCTCTGGGGCTCCCACCTCATCCCTTGGCCTCAGACAGGTACCAGGTGCTCGGATGTGGAGAACAAAGAGGAGCCCAAACTATTGCCCCCAACCTGGGGACCTGAACAAGTGAAGGCCTCACCGTCCCCATGGATCAAAGAGCAAAGCCAAGAGACTCTCGGGAGCCCCCTGGGGTGACAGGCTATCTGTCCTCACAGAGGAGACCCAAGGTAAGCAGCTAGGCCTTCACAGGTTCCCCAGGGCTCTGTGCCTCCTGAGCCTGCCATTTCCACATTTGGGAAGCCCCCACTCATGTTTCCACCATCATCTCTCTGCTCTGAAGGCCATAAGCGAAGGTGCCCCCTCAGGCTCGGGTAGGGCCTATGGCTTGAGGCTGGCCTGTAAGTAGCTGCAGCCACGCTGTTCAGGATCCTACAGCTTCCTCTTTAGTGGAGCCGATGTTTGGGGTTCTCAGAAATAGCTGTGGAATAAGTGAATGAATGAGAGAAGAAGATGGAGAGATGGAGAGAGAATGGGTTTCCTTTCAACTTCCACTTGGCTGAAAAGAGCAGCTACTTTAACAAATGTCCCATCAGAATAGCATTGTATGCATAATAACCAAATGGTGCAAACAACCCACATGACTGTCAAATGCCCGTGAGTGGATGGAGAAACTCATGTGATATAGTCGTGCAGTGGAATAGTACTCAGCCACAAAAAGAAATGAAGTTCTCACAATGCCACAGTGTGGATGAAGCTCAAAATGCTGAGAGGCAGAAGCCTGACCTGAAAGCTCACCAGCTGTATGATTCCATTTATATGAACTATCCAGAATAGGCAACTTCATAAGACAGAAATCAAGTTAGTGTTTTCCAGCCAGGAAAACCACCTAGGGAGCACTGTGTCACTTTTGAGCTGATGAAAATGTTTGCAACCAGATAGAGCCGATGCGCCATTCGATTGTGAACTTTCCAATAGCTGCTCTTAAGTCATGTGGATTTCACCTCCATGTTTTAAAAGATGAGACTGCCTGGCATGAGAATCTGGTTGTAGTGCTTTCCACCAGCCTCCATGCCCCACCCTCCAACCAGGAGGGCTATTACATCCCGGGGCCCACTCCATAATTTGGGGGTAACCCTCACCCTCTGCATGCCCTTCAGTCAGAGCTAGAGTCGGAATTCAGCTTCCTGGCTGTCTCCCTTAGGCTCTTTCTGCTTCTACTCTCCTGTTCCCTGCCTCTGTGCAGTGGTCAGGCCTCAGAGACCTTGCCCTTTTCCCTCAGCCGGCGTCCAGTCAGCGCGGTTTCACTGGAACCCAGAGGTGTGGAGTTGACCACCAACCTCACCATGCTACGGTGTTGCTGAAGTCTGTGGCGAGCAGTGGTTGGAATTGTATTTAACACCCTGCCCTACCGGGGATCGAACTGAGGACCTTGTGCTTGTGAGGCAAGCGTGGAGCCACTGAGCTAAATCCCCGGCCTTCTTTTTTTAATCTTTTCTTTTTCTCAGGGCTGGGAATGGAAGCCAGGGCCTGTACATGCTAAACAAGTGCTGTAGCTCTGAGTTATATCCCCAGCCCTGTATTTATTTTCAGTTTCCTGGTCTGGCTGTCTACCATCCGGTTCTACATCAAGTGACAGCCATGACTGTCACAGTTCACTGGGCTCTGGGTCATTTCCTTGTCTGGGGATTCCTAACTATTCTAAAAGAGCTTTCAGCCCCTACCTCTGTAGCTCCCCTCACTGGGCCTCTCTGACACAAGCCTCTGCCTTTGTCGAGCGGACCTTGTGAGCTCCCCTTCCAAAGCTCCGGGTTCTTTCTTCCTCTGTGATCCTGTGCATGTGTGTGCTAAAATAGGCAGACTGGCAGGGGCTCCAGTGCATGCACAGGAATTAGTGACCTGGGGAGCTCACTCCTCCTCCCTCCCTCCTCCAGAAGATGCCCCAGTTGATCTTAGGGCTGGGGTTCAAGCACAACTCTGATTTCAAAACATGCTTTTAAATCACTCTTTCTCTATTTTATGGGTTGAGTCGTGTCTACACTAAAGGTATATTTAGGTCCTAACCCCTGCAGATGTATCAAGTTAGGGCAGTATCCTCATAAGCAGAGGGAAATTTGGACACAGATACACAGAGAGGTCATTGAAGAGGAAGGAAAAAATCGGAGTTTAGGCTGCTAAGAGCCTTGGTCTGCCTGAGGCCACCGGAAGGTGGGTGAGGCAGGAAAGGTTTGCTCCCCTAGAGCTTCCAGAGGGTGCAGCCCTGCCTACACCTGGGCTTCAGACTTGTGGCCTCCAGAAGTCCAAGAGAGTAAATGTCTGATGTTTAAAGCCACCCCCTTGGTGGCACTTCAATACGGTACTAATACACTCAACCACCCCAACCGTAAAGGGAGAGGGAATGGAGAGATTTTGAAAATCCAAATTGTGTGTTGACACACAAGGGTGTGCTTTTAATTGCTTTGCAGAGTTGTTGAGGACCCCAAAGGCAAAGCTTGTGAAAGAAAGGGCCTGGGAAAGTGTTAAGCACCAAGCACGTGTTATTATGAGATAATTATTCTATCACTGGGAGAGCCGAAGCAATCCCTGACCACCGGCCTCCCTTCTCCCTCGTATCTATCTGATAACTTCTTAACCATTCGCATCCCTCTATTTGTCAGTTCTCTTCTCCCATCCCTGTGGAGAAGGAACCGTCCCTGACAGCCCAGGTAGGGACGAGGGATGGGTTAACCCAGCGCCGGCCAAGCAAGCGCAGTTAACTTCGCCCGCGGGCTCCCGGGAACCCCAGCATCCCTCCAGGGGTGCGTGTGCACTCATGTGTGCCCCCGGAGCAGAGGGAGAGAATCCAGTGATATTTCACACAAATGAGAAATGTTATTCTGCAGATTAAAGCCTCGCCAAGCCTGGTTTTGTCTTTATTTATGCTTTTCCATTTCCCTGTGCGCTGACATGGGTGCCCACGCCGGGGAGCGCTGAAGGACGTAATTGGCGTGGTGAAGGATTGTTGAGCCGCCAGGATGCTCATGCGCAGGGGTGCCCCCCCTTCTCTCTCCCATCTGTCACCATCTAATATGACAAAGTTTTTATCGGGCATCGAGGCACGGGAGATTAAAAGTAAATACCGCAATCAGGAGGCAGCTGGGGAGAAAATGCAGCGCATTTCACAGTAAGCTGCACAGCTCATCAAGGTAGCCTTGTGGCACCGGGAGCCGAGGTGACTGGGGATGGAGTGGGATGGGTGGGGGACCACAGGGAGACATAGGCCCAAGCAGCCGAGCTTTCACTCTTTGGGAAGTGACGGTAAAATGACAGCAGCTGCCATGTATCACAGGGATGAGATAAAGTTGGAATAGGTTCCTCCTTTGTTTGATGAAGAGCCTGAAGGCCAGAGAGATTAAAGAACAAGTCCGGTGGCACACTGTTTGCTGGTGGCCTTAGGGTGTCCTCTCTCCTCCCATCCCTTCCCGCTTTCTTCGTTCGTTCACAGATATTGGGATTTGCAAAGTAAATTGTCACAGGAGAAATTGTTTTGTTATATTTTCATACATTGTGGGAAGTCACAAGCTTCTACCACTAGTTAATTAGTTTGATCATAATGTTCATTCATTTAGCATTCAAACTCTAGGTTCTTTTTAAAATTCAATTTGGTATCTCTAGTACCTAGAACATTGCCTAGTCTATAGCTAAGTCCTCAATAAATATTTGTTCACTGCCTGATTAAATGAATAAACGTTGGTTCATACCTCCTATGTTGTCGTTACTAAATTTCAGTTGCTGTACCTCAGCAGCAATAGCAGGAGCCGAACCCTGGAGTTTGTTAGAAATGCACAACCTCAGGGGCCACCACATACCTGGGGAATCCGACTCTGCCTTTGAACAGGCTCCACAGGTGATACACATGATGCTGAAGTCTGAGCACGCTGGCATATATATGGCATATATATATAAGGCTGCATGTCAGGATGGTCCAGCCTCTCCTGCTCCATCATGCTGGGCCAAGGGGGACGAACTTCCTTCTGCGATGGTGCTTTATGCCATACACCATTAAGTTCCATTGTTAAACTACCACCCCTAGAGGGTCTTCCAGTGTGGACTGAACCAGCCACACATTGGGACCTGCAAGCTCCTCCCTCTGGGCCTCCATCCCTCTTTTCTTTTGCTCCCTCTGCCTGCCCTGCAGGTCCCAGCCTTGTAGCCTTGGCTGATAACAGGGGCCTTGAAATCTCCTGGCTGGGCTCTGTCCCTAACCACAATGCTCTTTTGCATACTTTGATTCCTTCTCATAGCAGGACTGTTCTCTGGGTGACCTTGGACTAATTGGTTCTCCCCTGTTTCTGGCTTGTTATTCTCAAGAACAGCCATGCAACCTCCTGAGAAAGGAGGAACTGCACACTCATTTCTCTGTCTGCTGGAAGCAGAGCCTCCTCCTTCAGAGCTTTAGCCCAATGAGTCCTGGGACTCAGAGGGGCATAACTGAGGCAGGGCTGCCTTTTAGAGTCCCTTGACTGGGGTCCAACTGAGACGCAGACAGTGAAGCCCCCAACCTGCCCTGTGCAGGTTTCTTGAGCTGTGAGAACTTGGTGCACAATGGAGCTTCTATATTTTTGTGTCTTGTTGCCCATCTGTAAGGAATGAGCCCGCTTCAGATAACTTGTTGCATGTGAGTGTGGCTTGTCTCTCACACTCAGCCATTGCACATACTGGGGCGGTGGTAGACATGTGAGGCTCCTTCCTAATCCTGGTGGCTGGCACAGGGGGGATCTTTGTTGTCTTCCATGCAGCAAGAGTCCTCCCTTGGGCCTAGTTGTTCATCAACCTGGTCCACATTTACTTTGAGCCAAATGTGCCTTTCCTTATCATGACCCATTGAAGAATAGTCATGGTCTTCTATTTCTATTTTATAGCTTGGAAAAATTGAGGCACCAGAAGACCCCAGACAGGGTGATGATAGCAAAATCCTGAGAAATATTTGGATCTTGATAAGAAGATGCAGCACTGGACCAAGCAATGCCCATATACAAAAATAACGTCCTGTCACTGGGCCTGTAGCTATGCTTGTTTTCCTCCTTCAGACTTCTTTGGCTCTGCTGCCTTGGGTCAAGTGGGCATGGCTGGGAGGCTAATCTCATACTCTAGCTTCTAGCATCACCATGTCTAGCTGCCAGCCTGGACAGAAGTTCCAGCCCCACATGATCCAGGATTTAGTCATAAAACCTCATCAGCTCCTCAGCAGCACCCATGATCACATTACCACACATAATTTTATCAGGTAACATAATTCAAATGTATTTTTCTCATTTTCATATTTCTAAAATCAGAGTGCAACTTACAATAGATAAGTACCTTTGATAGATTGTTTTTATTAAAAAATTTTTATTGAATTGATGAGGAGTGTTACAATTGATGGCATCCTGGAATTAAGGGAATACAGTTTTAGGGCTCTAGTAGAATGGGACACAGCACTGATATGTTTTGATAGATGATAAGGGGTTTGAGAAATGCACAAATGAGGATAAATTAATAATCACTGGGATGATCATAATAAATACTACTTAGTGAGTGCTTATTTATGTCAGTTATATATTTTCTCTAATTCTTTTGTTTGTTTGTTTTTCTTTCTTATCCTTTTTCATTTCTCTAATTCTTGAATAAGCTCACAAGGATAAGAATGTGACTTTAATCACTTTAAACATATGTAATATTATGGTATCTATCCTATGGTGGTTTTAAGAGCTTTATTGAGATGTAATTCACACACCCTAAAATTCACCCTTTTAAAGAGTACAATTTAGTGGATTTGGGTATATTCACAGAGTCGTGCCTAGAGTCCTTTAAATCTGAATTTCTTGAGGATTGATATTGTCTCATTTATCTGTCAACCTTTACAAAGTGGATTATCTGTGCATTTTGTAATTTTGGATTATGGGTTCATCTTCAGCAAGGCTTTGCATGTGAGAGTCCTGAATCAACTGAGTAGAAGATGTGTCCCTCCAGAGGGGTGATTGCCTTTGTCATTGGGTAAAACTGGCCCCAGAGTCCTTGCTGCTTTGTTGTTGTTAATTCATTAGTTTAGAGCTCCAAAACCGTGGGAGCAGAATAAAAATAAATTCCAAATCCATGGGACAGAAAAGTTATGGTTGCTAATTCCCAGAGAAGACTTTTTCTCCCCACACAGATCCCATCATTAGATCGATTTCTCAACACTGGCATTATTGACATATTGAGTGAGGTAATTCTTTGGTGTGAGGCACTGACCTGTGTGTGCAGGGGGTTTAATAGGCAGCATCCTCTTGGCCTCACCCCCCAGATCCCAGTGGCACCTTTCCCTCCAGTGCCGACAACCAAAAACATCTCCAGACACTGCCGATCACCCCTTGATGGGCACAACTGCCCCTACTTGAGAACCACTAGTCTATACAAATTAGATTCTCAACAGAGGAAGAAAACAGAAAAAGAAACAGAAATCCCCAAAGCTTCCTTCCCATCACCCTGTGCTAGCCAGAGGGTTTTTTCCTTTGGTTCCAATTTTACTAAGGTGGTAGCCTTTTGGGGGGTCATGGATTTTGGAGGTTTCAATTCCAATAGCAGATTTCCCATGGATCCCAGGCTTATTTGGGGTGCTTAAGCAGGGACTAAGGTGGGATAGGGACTCTGGGAATAGCCCATGTGCTAAGTGGTCCAATTTCTGTTTTTCTCTTTTTCCTCCAGTTTTGGCTCCTGTGGCTTTCTCTGTCTTATAAGCTCATTTACCATTTAAAAGATTACGTGATTACATTTAGCATTTCCGGGTATTTCATTACAAGACAGTTTAGGTCACCAGATCCACAATATTGCCAGAATTATTGGTCCCCAAGTAGATATCATTATTTCCATCTAGACATAAACTGTGACCAAAAGAGGTTAAGTGACTCACCAAAAGCTGCACAGCTGTTGGTGGCAAAGCTGGGACAGGATCCCAGGTCAGTCTAGTTTAAAGTTAAGAGCTGTACAGAGCCTAATTATTCAGAAATTACAAGATCTATTTGTTTGCTGTTGCTACTGTAATAAATTACCACAAATGCAGTATTTAAAATTACACAAATCACACAGTTCTGAAGGTCAAAAGTCTACAGTGGGCCAGCAGGGCATCCTTTTTTCTGAAGACTCTAAGGGAGAACCCATTGTCCTGCCTTTTCCAGCGTCTAGAAGCCAGCATCATGTCAAGACTTCCTCCTCGCATCTCTTCAGCCTCTGCTTCCACTGTCCTACCTCCCTCTCCTAAGGACCTTGTGACTACATTGAGCTTACTAGAATAATACAGAATAACCTTGTTGCAAGAGCTTCAGTCAAATCTTTTTTTTTTTTTTTGGTACCGGGGATCGAACTCAGAACCTTGCGCTTGCGCGGCAGGCGCCAGAACCACTGAGCTACATCCCCGCCCCAGTCAAATCACATCTGTGAAATCCCCTTTGCCATCTAGGGTTTGCCAGGGATTAGGACAAGAACATCTGTGGGAAAGTCATTGTTCAGCCCATCACAGAAGGGGTCTTACCAATAGATAGTCTAACTTATGATGGCTCTTCTTGCAATTTTAGACTTTACGATCATGTGACAGTGATATGCGTTTGGTAGAAATCAGACTTGAATTTTGATCTTTCTGCAGGCCGGTGATACATGTGTGGTATGACAGGTACAATGCTGGGCAGCAGTCACCCCGGTTCCCACTGAGCACAGTATCACAAGTGGGAATGACTGGTGTGCTACAGGGTTCTGTGGTGCTAAGCTAGGAGGTTAGTGGATTAAATACAATTTTTGACTTATAATGTTTTAAGTTTACAATGGGTCCATCAAGGGATAGATCCATTATAAATTGAGAGAAATCTGTAATAATTTCAACTTTAACATTATAGGAAAGAAAAAGACAGAAAGAAACAGAAGTCCAAAGAGATCTCCTGGCATGTAGCCTCATGCTATTTCAATCATATCTGCTCTCTTACTTGCTTAAGTGCTTTAGGTAGAGTAGGAAACAAGTAATGATCAGGAGCTGTCATGAAAGAGGTGGGACATGACTGATGCATCAAAGGAGAGGAAGGGGAAGGCTTGGTGCCACCGAGAGCTGGTAAGGGGATGGATGGGTTCAATCGCTAGCTTTACCTGAGTCAGGGATGGAAGGGGTGATGGTGCTGTTCAATTTACAAACATTTATTGAGTGCTTATTGTGTACCAGGTGATGCGCTGAACTCAACCACAAGAAGAATAAGATCCATCACCTACCTAGAGGAGAGAGTTGTGGAAGGAGGGTGTTATATGATAGGAAAGGGTCAAGAGCTTTAGAACAGGATAAGCCTGCATTTGGATCCAGTTCTACTCACTGGTTAAGTGACTCAGGAAAATTAATCTGTCTGAAAGTTTCTTCATTCATAAAATAATAATAGCCATCAATTCTCTACATTATACAGGAAGCATAAAAAAAATCTGCTTTAATATTTCTGGGCCTGAAGTCAGCATCAAATCGTGTGATTTCGAAAGTGAAAAGTTTCCTGAGTCTCATTTGGTTACATTTATAACAGGGATACTTTTGCCCACTGGTAAACTTTAAAAGAAAGCTAGCTAAGCTCCATGATGCTCAGCTCTAGCAACTTTGGCAAGAGCCCTTGAGGAGGTGGCAAGAAGCAGAGGCAGCTGGGCCTTGGAGGCTCAGCCAAGCCCTGGCTTTCTGCCTCAAGGTGCTGCGGAGGACCTCACACGTGCAACCCAATTGTTCCTCTGGCCCCCTGAGTTGGAAAGTTCTGCCTTTGAAGGCTGAAGATTAAGTCATGTGATCTAAGGCCATGTTTGTTGACTATAGCACTACCAAAATTTTTGCTCGAGATAACTCTTTGTTGTCCTGCACTTTGTAGCATGTTTAGTAGCCTCTCTGGTTTCTACCCACTAGATGCCATTTGCAACCCACTGTGACAATGAAAAATGTTTCTAGACATTGCCAGATGTTCCCAGATGACCATCTAGATGAGGCCTATGGGAAAGTACTCTGTAAATCTAAAGGTAGAAGATATAATTCTTATAAT